AATATCTTAAAATCTATTTTTATATCTAATTATAAAGTTTTAAACTCAAAAAGTATCTAAAATAAAGTAGATCTATAAACATATGAAAATCTTGAAATGGACGGTCTAGATAATGTGTTGCAAGATGTACTATTTTCGAGAGTCGAAATTCTTTTTTTCTTTCATATTCATATATATAGATGTTGAGATAATCAATTGCAGGATTTTTCAACATTAAAATAACTTTTTCCAATAGATTTTTGAGGCGCATATGTAATTCTACATTTTATGGTTGCAACCTTATATAAACTTTTCCCTTAAAAAAAAAGTGCTAAATTTTTGCACTACAACTAAACTAGATTAAACTTTATAATAAAAGGAAAAGTTTATATAGAGCCGAGGCTCTAAACAATCAAATTAGAGCCTACCTCAAAATCTTACTAGAAGCGATTGTTTTGATGCCCAAATATCCTCAATTTGATCATCTTAACATCAGCATGCATGGACATGAGGAAAAAAAAAGGATTTTAAGTTTTGGAAATAGTGTATTTTGTAACGCATTTTTGGACAATCAAGTTTCAAGATTTTCAAGTTTTCATAGATATACCTATCTACACGATTTTTAAAGCTTTAAACTTTATAAATAAAGATGAAAATATATTTTAAGGCTATCACAAAGATTTTCAGTATTGAAACCACATTTCTCGATAGTATTTGAAGGTAGGCTCTAATTTGATTGTTTAAACATGCAGCTTGCTTCTGCAGTATAAGGACGACGCCTTACACAAATTCTCACTTATTTTTAAACTCTTCCAAGAACTTTTTATGTAATAAAGTGAATTTTATCTAAAAATATCATTTTATTATGAAAATTAAAAAATAGTATTTTGTATTTTAGATTGGGTGCAGTTTGCATAAATAAATAATCCAAGTAATGCACACATCCAAAGCTTGTCGAAACATATAATTTTAGCGTCGAATATTTCAACGATGGTGCGAAAACCTATTTTATATCCAATTATTGAAAATAAAAATTTAAAAAATTGTGTAGATCAAATAGATCTACGAATATTTGAAATTTTTTAAAATAAATAGTCTAGATAATGTGTTTTACAAGGTGAGCATGAAATTCTTGTTTTTTTTCATATGTATATATCTCGTGGTCAAGATGATGAATTGAAGGATTTTTCACCAGAACAACAACTTTCGATGGATTTTGTGGCAGTGACTTACATCTACATTACAAGGTTGACAACATACATAACCTTGCTCCTTTCAGACTTTAAACGGCTAATTTTTGAGAGGTTGTATTATAATTCGATTTTATCTTTTGTTTTATATATCAGATTAAACTAAAATTTGAGAAGTTGATATTTTTGACAGTACAAAATTCGTTAAAATTATTAAAAATATTTTAAAATAAAGAAAGGATAATTTATCAAAATACTCATAAGAGGTGCATTATTTAATATTTTATACTTTTGCAAAATATTCCAACTCATGATCATATGTTTTTTAATGAGTATTTTGAAATTAAAGCAAACAAATGGGTAAAATATTAAATAGTTCATCTCTCATAAGTATTTTGATAAAATAAAATGACTAGAATACTCTTTAATTAATCAATTTTGTAGCGGTATTTTGGTTATATTTGTTTAACTTAATTATATTTTGATATTTTTGTCTAGTGTGTTGCGGTGAGGAATGCATACCATATTTAAGCTTAATGAAATATATAGAAAAAATAAAATTGAAATATAATATTCACAACGAAAAGTGAAACTCGGGTGTAAAAATATAGAATTATGTATTTTTTAAATTTGAAAATGAAAAGAAATTTTTCTATTAATTTCCCAAAAATCTATTGAACCTGTAATTTAGATACAATAATAACTTTCCTAGGAAGAAAACTGTGCCCATCTCTCCTTAAAGCTATATTCTATATTTATCCTAGTACAAGAAATTAACAGAAAAATCCCTTTTTATCATCAAAATTTAAAAATAGTTCCAAATATTTTATGTCTTACACTTGAATATTATATGTTAAATTTTATTATTTTTATATTAAATTAAACTCAAATTTTGGCCTCCGTACTTCTCATTGTATATAATGAGACCATTTACCTTTGACGCAAAGAGGTTACAATTACTTACAACCATTCGATGTAAAATTTGATAGGTTGGTTGTGTAACAAAATTCAAGAAAATTACTTTTGAAGTTTGAGCATGGTCAATGGAATAAATACAGCTATCTAATTTCACATCCCATAGTCACGATCAATTGTGACCACCTTTTATCAAAGATAAATGGTTTCATTGTGGTTGTTTTATTTATTGTTAAATATTTAAAAAAATATATATGTGCACTTAGTTTTAGTACATCATTTTTCCATAGACCCAGGGTTTTAAAAACTTTCTTGCGACATAGGTTTTTCTAAAAAATATGTTTTCTAACCTTTTGGACCCAATCTACTTTTTTTGATTGCTCATTTTTTTACCCAAATAAAAACTAAAAAATACCTCAAGCTGTCTACTAAATCTCTCTCTCTATACAACTTTTTTATTTGTCTCTCTAACATTTATAGAAAGAAATAAAGACGTACATTTTGGCTCGATTGACTTAAATGGGATTAAATTAACAAAATGTCCTACTAGGCTCCAAACCTCCCAAAGAAAAATTTTCATGAAAAACTATATTCCACCTTTGGAACCCAAAAAAGGAAAAAGTTTATGTAGAGTTAATGCTCTAAACAATCAAATTTGAGCCTACCTCAAAAATTTTACTAGAAGAGATTGTTTTGATGCTCAGATATCTTCAAAATTTATCATCTCGAGATATGTCGATCTACACTATTTTTGAAGCTTTAAACTCTATAAATAAAGATGAAAATGTATTTTAAGGCTATCACAAATATTTCCAGTGTTAGAAACCACATTTCTCGATACTATTTGTTTGGAGCGTAGGTTTTATGCAAAACCGCACCCCCCCAAAAAAGTAGAGGAATTTAACTATTTAGCGCAAAAAATGCCATCACTTGTTTACTGTTACAAAACCGGTATGAGGAAACTTGAGCATTTTTTAACAAAATTCTTGAGTATGTACCAAAATGACAAATTCTTAAAAAAAGTAACCACTAAATTTTATAGGGATACTGTTGATTCAACTGCCTGATCGACGTTTTGATGCAGTTTGACCATTGAGTGATACTTTCCCCAATATTTTTTACTTGTACGAGCCTTTACCATAAGGTCATAAAATATAGAGTTGTACGAGCCTTTACCATAAGGTCCTAAAATATAGAATTGATGTGTACCTCTAAAATCTTTCGAAAATAGTTGTTTTGATGTTGGAAAAACAGCTAATTGATCATCTCGACATCAAGATGTATAGATAGAGAGAAAAAATGATAGTTCAAATCCTACCATCCATTTTCAAGATTTTCATGAGCTTATAGATCCGCTCGATTTGAACCATTTTTGGAGTATAAAAATTTTATGATTATAGACAAAAAAATAGATTCTCTTTTAGGTTTCAAGTCTAGGTACAGAGATTGCAGTAGAATTGGAGCTTTAGGTTTCAAACCCATGTTGACCCACACAGGGTAGGCAAGCCCACCTCATAAATGTCTTTCACAACAGTGTATTTATCAGGTCTAAACTATAAACCACCTCATCAAACATAAAGAAAAAAGAAAAAAAGAGTAAAAAATTAAAAATTAAACGACACAAGAAATGGACAATAAACAGTGGAAAGAAGTCTCAATATGCTCTATAACTGCACAAACAAAGCTCACTGAAGCTCTCATTCCATTTGAGTTTTTAAGCAATACAAGCTTGCACAAGATAGTCAAGTTCATTAAATACAATTACATCTAAAAGTCAGGATTCAGCCTCATGGGGAACCAGCAACCTTGAAATGCTCGCCCTTTTTTTTCTAAGATACAAGTCCAATACTTTTTAACAACATACATGATGCCCAAACTCACCTCTTTTTGAATGGGCCCACCCAAAATCCAGCTCAACAAGTCCCTCCAGCCAATAAAATACAAACTGAAACCTCATCCTGCCTCTCAGTCCAAAAACCAACTCTAAATTGTCCACCAAATACATCAGAGAAGCTTCAGCGAATTGTCTACACCGCATCTAGCATCCAAATCAGAGAAACCCAACTCCCAATTTTCTGCCAAATATAACAGCAACATTTCCACAAAATGACACTGCATTTGGCCTCTCAATCAAAGAAACCCAACTCCAAATTGTCCTCCAAATTTGGCAGCAAGGCTTAATCACACCCACACTGCATCTAGCTTCTTAAACAAAGCAAACCCAACTCCAAATAATCCCACGAATGTAGCGGAAAAGCTTCAGTGTGCTGACACTGTATCTAGTTTCCCAATCAAAGAAGACCAAATCTAAATATTTCCCCAGATGTAGTGTGACAAAGCTGCAGCGCACTGAAAGGGCATCTCTTCTCCATCAAAGAAAACCCGACTCTGAATAATCCACCAAATTTATGGGCAAAAGTTTAGCAGACCAGGGAGGACTGGAGAGAAGTGTTGCTTGAGAGATGGGTGCACGAAGACCACCTTATGACTGATTCTGTGACCATGAGCCCTAGTGGCTCAACCTCACCCAAGCCAATTGTGCGGTTCCTTCTGTTTTGGATTTTGGAAGGCCCGGCCCCACCTCTACGAAAATCAATGCCTGAAGATTCTAGTGAGAGAAGGAGCTTCTCAAAGCCAGCTTCTGCATATTCCAAAAGCAATATACACGCTATTAGAGAGGCCACATGGGCTATTTTGAATAGTTTTCCTTTTAGGGTTGTTTAACCAATTTTACAATCAATATGGCAATATAATACAGGACAGTCCTTTTGATAATCCAAGATATTGAAAAGCAAAACAGTATAAGAACAAATTATCAATGATATGATAAACAGATATTGAATCGAATGCACGGACACGATATTATTACCCATTTAATCAAGCTGAAGTTTATTGAAATAAAGAATTTTTCTAGCTGGTAATGTAAAGCGATTGAAAACTGTGATATCAAATGACGTTCAGGTAAATTATGGCAGACAATTTTAAGGGGGAAAAATGGGTAGTTCTTTTCTTTCTTTTTTTTGGGTAGTTCAGCAGTAGAAATCAAACTAGAGATGTAGCATTGCCAACATCAACTGCTAACCACTCAAGCCCAAGCCCAATTCCAAATGGGTAGGACTTTCCATCAATTTCTGCTCAAATTTAGATAAGATGAAATAGAGGTGCAAGCCTGCTTTTGCTCTCAACAAGCCTAGATTGACCAATATTTCTCAAATTCTAATTCATATGTTTGGGCAATGAGTTGAGTCCTCAATGAACCTCATTTTATAAAGATAGGTAACCCCTGGTCTCATTGGTCAAAATTCCATCATTAGGGTCTACAGGTGGACCTGCTTTGGGTCAACCTAAACCCAACCCATTGACAAGCTCTCCTTCACATTAGTTATGCACAATTACAACAGAACCCATAATTTGGAATTAAAAAATTAAGCATACCTCCCTGTGTTGTGGATCCATTTGTACTTTCCTCCTGTAGGGACAATTGTTTCTCTTGCTCAGATAGAGAGCCTTCTCTTAGGAATGAAAAGCTTGGCATTGATGGAACTGGTGATGAAGACTCAAATACCTTTGGCACCGAGCATCTACTGAATGAGAAATCCCCATATCCAGTGCAAGGAGCAGGAGTGGCCAAATACGAAGAGAAGGAAGATTTGCAAGTGAATGCTGGTGAACAATCCAACGTAACTTCACCAGAAAGGCCAGCCCCTGAGTTAAAGCTCAAGTCGCGATTGGCAGACATAGGAGTAGAGGAATGTTCAGAATCCAGGTCGCATTCCGCATCTTTTGGGTTGTTTGGTTCATAACGCTCCAAAATCTGTAATTCAGATTTTATCCATGGATGATCTGCAAAAGTAAATAGAAAGTAAATCAATAATCGATCCATAAAATATAATAAAACCAAAGCAAATACCATGATGTAATTTGGCACCAGATAGAAGTGAATCTCTACCACCACAATAACACACGCAGACATCACATGCAGAAAAGCATGCATGTACTAATGCATCCATTTAAACCAATATATTTGAGTTGGCGTCATATAGAGATACTCTTAAGAGTAAGTGTGTTAGGAATTGCCCTACAAAGCTTCATTTTAAGAAGAAGGGTACTTGATTTCCATCCTTGAATGTGAGATTCTCAATCTGAGTGAAACCAAGTGATTAGGCTGGATTCAACCAAGCTCGCTCCAAGTTTCCAAATCAAGTGAGAGTTGGGTGGTGGGAATATGAGGGGAGAGAGAGGGAGAGAGAGAGGATGACAACAACTTAGCATATAATTAGGACATTCAAAATCTGGATCCCGTTACCAGCTCATCCAAGACAGATTCAAGTTAAGAATAAAATCAATATGACAGGAGAATGAAAGAAATGGTTGAGCTTGTGATATTCCAAGGTTATTGAAATATACACACAATTCTCTAGAAACCAAATATGCTTCCCTAATATGCCAAGTCATTCTTGCAACTGTTTTTGCTTATCGAGTACAAAATTTGGACTCGACCCAACCGAAGATAAAAGTGTGGAGACCCATGCAAGCTCAAAACAATAAACACATATTCACCAGAACATGATCCAATCCACATAACATAGACCATAAAATAAAGAACTCAATATGCAAGGGTAGGCAGTTGTCTGCACTTCAAAAGTAAATCAACCATCTACACTTTGATTCAGGCAAACAGACTAAAGAAAAAATTGCTTCTAACAATTTTAAACCACACATTCAAAGCCCAGTGACCTTTTTGTGGAATTCTTTTGAATTGTTTGTATTCATAACTTTGTTTCAGGAAAGATTAATTAATTTGAAGTAGAACTCACTCTTTCAGACCAAAGCAAGCAAAGCATTACATTCTAACTCGAGTGCAACCCAACTAACCTAAAACCTGAGCAGCTGTAAGCCTCTTGCAGGGATCAGTGCATAGCATCCCAATAATCAAGTCTTTGGCAGACTCAGATACACGATCCCAATGATCGGAAGGAAACCGCAAATCAGCAGCTCTAACAGCTTCAAAGATCCTTGACTTAGTCTTCCCCCAAAACGGAGGCATCCCACTGAGAAGAATGTAAAGGATCACACCAGCACTCCATACATCAGCTGCTTGGTTATACCCACCAGCAAGAACTTCAGGAGCAATATAGAAGGGACTTCCAACTGTCCCATACAGATACTGTCCTGTCAGTTAGAAAGAAACAAAAATGATGAGAAACACAGTATAAATTATGGATTCCCATCGCAGTTAGACTTGTGAATAAAAAGGAAGGGCAAAAGGGCAAAGGTACAAGCATAGCAAACATATGAACAATCAAATGAGAGACCATGAAAATCATGGACATCCATCACAATGAGACTCGTGCATTTTAAGGAAGAACAAAAAGACAAAGGCACGAGCATACAAAACATACAACACAAACAAAAATCAGAAAGACCATGAAAATACAGAAACAGTTGTGAATAATAATCCAGAACAAAGAAAAAGGCATAAGGACACCAAACAAAACAAACAAATAAATATGTATACAAACCAGAGAGACAATGGAAAGGAGGAAACTCATCAGATGATGACTGATGTTTAGTGAAGAGAGGCAGAGGAAAAGGCATGAGCATGTGGAACAAAGAAAATGACAAAAAATAGAAACATCATGAAAATTACAGAAACCCATCACAGAAAGCTCGCGATAAATAAGTAAAACGAAAAAAAATGGAACAAACATACCAGGTCTAATATAAGTAGCAAGGCCAAAGTCAGCCAACTTGATTGGTGATGATAAGGACCTAGTGGCCAAGAGTATGTTCTCAGGCTTCAAGTCTCTATGAACAATGCCCTTATCATGGCAATACATCACAACTTCCATAAGATGCTTAAATAGAATGGCAGCCTCAGGTTCAGAGTAGTGACCATGCTTCTCTAACCGATGGAAAAGCTCCCCCCCAGCACAAAGTTCCATCACTAAATGCACATAATCCTCTTCTTCAAATACAGCTTTGAGGGCCACCACATTTGGGTGGCCAGACAATTTGGTCATTATTTCTATCTCTAGTTTTACACTACAAAGGTCATCTGGTGTGACCAACCTATCCTTGGCTATGGATTTACAAGCCAAGGTCTCACCAGTTAGCTTTTCCTTACAGATCTTGATAACCCCAAATTGGCCCCAACCCAACTGCTCACCCAACACATATCGATCCTCTAATTTAGAGGTCTTCTTTGCATCAAGAATGGGTTCGATTAGAAAAGGTATCTTGTAATAGTTACAAAAAGGGATTGATGGGCCACTGGTGCTCTTGATAATAGCCATTTAAAGACTCGAAGAGCTCAACACCCCTAATTGAACTTCTTTTCAGCAAAAATTGCAGCTTCTTCTTCTGATTTGTGTTTCTGGAATTTGAAGGAAACCCAAAATGCATATGTTTTATAAAGCTAGATGCATCATCATAACTTTCTCCAGGAAGAAAAGGGCCACCTAAAAGGTTCTCAACCTGAAAGTCAAATTTTTTAAACATTAGATATGCAAATGGGATAAAAAACAAGTGAAGAGGTAAAGAGAAGTTCAGTCCATTAACAGCAGCGCCAATTATCAGAATTCAGAAACATTGAGATCAAAACATAAACTCAACTGAAACTGTGGAATCAGTTAAAAACTATGAAGTATTTCTGAACATGTCAGCCCTTACAATCGCTTAATATTTCTAGTATTAAAGAAGCATAATTTTAAATTAATTATCAATCTGATATTGGAAAACATAGACATTAAAGATGATGCCGTCTTTATTAAGGTCCTAAACATTAAAAAAGAAAGTAAACATACTGGCTCAGTGCCCAAAATAAGAAATGGAAAGACTAAATCCTAGAACAGTGAGTTCTTGCTTTTCTTGCTTCCGTTTTGCATATCTTTTTAGCAATCACCATGGAATCACATATTCCAGTATTTAAAAAGAAATCAGGTCTTCTGATGAAATTAATTTCAAACAAGACCTCAGCTTTGCTCAATTACAACCACCATTCCCATAAGAATTTCTTTCTTTTAATTTGTATACCCTAAAGTCCATAAAGTTAAGAAAAAGAATTTCATGCAACCTCAATTCAATAAATGAGAAGCATTCTCCAAAAATTTACAGAGCAATTCTCATTGCAACTGATACACCACCTCATCTTGAAATTTTACCAGAGAAAAACAGTTTTTACGGTGAAAATGATCAGAGAACAAAAGTTACAAAACAAAAGTTCATCTTATTGAAGTACAATCCATCAAAGAAACAGTAATCTAAAAAAAAAATGGTTACTAGAGCTAATTACATATAAATCACATATTTTAAAACAGAAAACTGAATGAGCCTGATCATTTTATTTGAAAAATAAAGCCTGATCATTTCATTTGAAAAAAAAATTCAAGTAAATTTCAGGTGACAAGGAGAGAGTTCAGTGAATACCTGTGGCTCAGAGAAATGGAGACTCCCAGAAACTGAAGCTTTGATCCGGATCTGGTCCCATCAAAGTACAGTCCGAAAAGGATACGGAATGCAAGCATAAAAGAGCCCTAGAAAGGTTTCTAGGGCTCAAAGCTCTGCTTTTGCAGTCAGGCTAGAGAGAGAAGAAAAGGAGCCATGAAATGTCTAGGGTTTCCATTTGGTGAAGGAGATGCGTAGGGATCAAGGAACACTTGGATTTAGACAGAGAGAGAGAGAGAGAGAGTGGGTACAGGGAGGAGATCACAGTCTGGAATTTTAAATAAATTACTCTCTCTCTCTAAGAAAATGCAACGTCTCTCTCTCTAAGGAATGCAGGGTTTTAACAGTGACCTACGGAAAGAGAATTATGTGGAATTTTTCTGAGTCATTTTCGTCTTAATTTCGTCACTTTCTCTCTCTCTCTAAACTTGCACTTCATTTCTCTCTCTTCCCCCTTATTTCTTAATTTCCTCTCTCTTTCTTTCTACATCTCATTTTTCTTCCTTTCCACTCTCTCTCCTCCCATATGTCCTTAATATCCTCTCTCTCTCCTCCCTTCTCTTCTTATTTTCCTTTCTCTTATCGTTTTTTTTTAATTTCCTCTCTCTCTCTCCCCCCTTTTCTTCGTATTTTCCAAATTAGCAAGCATCTCTCTCTCTTAAATTTTAGTGGCAAGCATCTCTCTCTCTCTCTAAAATTTAAGAAAAAGGTGTGATAGCAAGCATAGTCCTCGTGAAACTCATCAATGCCGTTCATTTCTTAAATTCTTAGAATAATGACGAGCATATCCTGCCCTTCATGCTCTTTTTGAAAAAAAAAAACATTTTATTAGAAAATGAAAAGTTTCAACAATTTGTAATAACAAAATAAACCATTTTAAGAAGGTTGATAGCTTCAAATAAATAATAATAAAACCTTAGCTATTTTCACTCTAAATTCATAAGGAAAAGCTTTTATGTCTCCCTACAACATAGAAGTTCTATGTCTCCCTTATGTAACTGTCTATTTTTTAATGGAGAGCTAAGATTGCCCCAATCACAACATCATGTCTTTACACTGATTTATTTTTATTTTTTTTTCTACAAACTGTTTTGACACCAAATTTTGGACGTCCGTTCTTATATTAAACTTGCACTAACGAAAAATATATAAAAAAAATGTTTTCAATAAAATAAAATAACAAAATACCCCTAAAAGATTCAAGCGTATTTTGGTTATTATGTTTTATCAAAAAATTATTGTTAATATTTTTTATAGGTGCGCCCAAATGATAAGATGGCACGTACCAAATTTCATATTTAAAAAAATTGTATTAAAAAAACTAAAAATAAATACTTTAAGACATCGGATATAAGATCAAACAGTGAATAGCTCTCTTGATAAAAAATGGACGTCTAGATGGTTGGGGAACATAGAACTGCTATATTGAAGAGGGAACATAGAAAGCTTTCTGAAATCATAAAACTATTCCAACCACTGTGAATTCATAACCTCAAGTCTACTCTCTCTTCATAAATGTTCTCCTCTCTCTCTCTCTCTCTCTCTCTTTCGTATCTTTACACAAACAAGTGTAATGATCCTATAGGACCCTCCCCACCCATGTGTGTAGGACTCTAAAGGATTATTATTAAAGTTTGTATAAATCTCTATAAAAGTTAGTGTGAGACTTGACTTTTCTATAGATCCGTGCTAAATTTATTGGTGATCCTTTTAGGTCCTACACACATAGGTGGAGGGGAAGGTCATGTAGAATCATTTATCCACACACAAAAAACCCTTGTTTATAACTATCATAGTGGAAAAACAAGGTCTCTTTCTTCATAAATGTTATCGTCACAGTTAATCTCTCTCCTATTAGTATATATTCTCCTACACGCTCTCTTATTAGTATATACATCAGTGAATTAAAAAATAGATCGATAACTCGGATCGGACATCTCAAAAACCGCTCTGAATTGGTGAATCGGCAGTCTGGATCATCATTTTACTATGTCGAAAAAAAAAAGTGAACTAACAAAAGAACACGTGAAAAAACAGTGAACCAGTCAAAAACCAGTCTCGATCAGTCAATTAGCAGTCCAAATTGCCATTTTTCTGTACGGAAATGCCGATTGAACTCTACCATTTTCTTATATATATACATAATCGAAACGGGGTGATCGATTCTCAAATCAAACAGAGCGGTTCCATGCCGACCAAACATTTTTTAAAATCACCTATCCTATTCTCTCTCATATTACATTGTATTCTCCTACTCTCTCTCATTAGTAAATATTCTCATACTCTCTCTCTACCCCCTCTCTCTCTGAAAGGGGTAGAATAAAGAAAGGATGTACCCCCTCTCTCTCTAAAAGGGGTAGAAGAAGGAAAGGATGGAAGAATTTGAATGAAGGAATTTGTCAGTGGGGGACATGTGGATGAATATTTTACTAAGAGAAATATTTATTTGGATTCAATATTTGTGACTGGGAAAAAAACATTTTTTTCTTTTATTTTTTCTTTTTCCTGGACCCCCTGATTTTGCGCTTCTAGGGCTTGGGGGTGGTTAGCGTGTGGCCACGGAGTATAAAGCGCCCACTGGATTCCAGGCCTTGGTCTGCTCTCTCTCTCTCTTCCCTACTTTATCTCTCTAAATCCCTCCTCTCTTTTCCCAAGTTTCTCTCTCTAAATATCCCCTATTTTCCCTCGTTTCTCTCTCTAAATATCCCCTATTTCCCCTCGTTTCTCTCTCTAAATATCCCCTATTTCCCTCGTTTCTCTCTCTAGAATCTCTCTTCTCCCGTTGTCTCACTCTATTTTACACTCCCCTGTGCCTTTTGTCTCTCTCCTCTTTGCCTCTTTCTTCTCCCTTCTCTGTCAATCTAGTTTTGCTAATCCAAATCACAGATGGGGAAACGGTCCAATTGATCCTGATTCCTGGGTCTAGTTGAAACCCAAAAGTGGTCTGAGCCTAGTTTCGTCAAGGAGCTAGGTAACTCTAGAAACCTCATAATCCTGATTAGCTGGATTACTTAGCTCCTTCAAATTATATTTTTATATTTTTTTTTATTGATACAGTTTACATACATATACATCTATATAGCTGTAGAAGTAAGATGCACTTTCAAATTTTATTATGGTATATAATTTTGATGTAAAATGTTTTTGGGATTATCTCAATATCTATTTTTATATTCAATTATAAAATTTGAAATTTTAAAAATGATTAAAATCAAATAAATCTATAAACATATGAAAATCTTGAAAATAGACGGTGTAGATAATATGTAGTAAAACACACTAATTATGAGATTTAAGATCTTTTTATTTTTCATAGTCATACATCTTGACGTCGAGATGATCAATTAAAGAGTTTTTTAACATTAAAACTGCATTTTTTAATATATTTTTTTCGTGCATTCGTAGTTCTACATTATAAAGTTGCATCCTGACATAAACATTTTTCTTTTTTTACATCACGGAAAATTAACCTTTTTGGGAACTGGTAATTCACCGATCTGAATTCATCCAACCAATCCGGGTTTTAAAACACTTGAAACCTCTCTCTCCTCCCTCCTCTCTCTCTTCAAGGGTGCGGGCCCACGTTTGAGTAAGAATAACGGTGCTTCTTTGATGTGATGCGTGCCGTTTTTTCTTCTTCTTTAAATCCCCACCTCGAATTCAAAGACAACGAAATCTCGGTTTTCGCCGAAACTTCGGTGGAATATCTCGCTAAGTGAGTACACTTGGAAAAATATGTACTGCGATCCACGTAACCTTTTAAAATAATGAAACTTATAAGAACGGGAAAGTAGAGAAGGAGACCATTTACCGGGGTCATATTAATCTTGACCATTGGATCTAAAATTTGATGGCTGTTATTATTCTATTGACCAAGTTTCAACTTAAAAAAAAAAAAATTGAACTTTGTGATACTTATAAGCTATCAAATTTCACATCAAATGGTTGTAAGGAATTGTGACCACCTTAGTAAATGGTCTCATTGTATACAATCTCTATAAGAATATGTTATTTTTTTCCATCAATTTATAAGTTTTATCTTTTTTCGACCATGTAATGCGTATTATGATAAGTATTTTGAAATAAAATCAAAAGATATGGGTAAAATATTAAATAGTTAAACTCTTATGTGTGGCAAATTTTCGTATAAATATTAGACCATTAATGCATGAAGCCCAACCGATACATCAATAGGCAAAATAAAATAAGAGTCAATTGATAAACGGTGATAGAGAGTTGCCTGTAGGATTTTTCTACTACTCTTAAATAATTTCGAATAACATAGATAAATAATATCTTTATTAAAGGATTATATATTATGACACCACTTAGTTTTTGTACAAAGATGTCACAATTGATACTAGCCATTAGATATCAAATTGGAATGCTGGGGGTGTGTCACAAAGTTTGAAGTTTTTTTTTTTTAAACTTAAAGTCTAATCAATGATACACTCACAACCATCTGATTTGAAATTTGATCGACAAAATTGATTGTGACATCCATGTATTAAAAGTAAATGGCATATTTGTATATTTTTCCTTTTATTAAAGATATAATTAATATTAGTTTATTATTAAAAAATAATTGAAATTTAAAAAAAGGGAATTACTCGAGCTTTTCTTTACACTTTCGAGAGAAAGTAAGATTGTTTGCCTGAAATTGAACCTTCCAAACTTTTTGGCTCCACAGGAGGCCACGGAAGGGGCGGTTTTCATTATTTTTCCCATTTTTTGGAATTTCCATCTCCAAAAATAGGGGGAAAATAGAATCTGCCCCTTCTATGCCCCCCTATGGATTCAAAAGTTCAAAATTTCCAGCTTTTGAAGTTCGAACCTTTTGCCAAACAAACAAGAATTGGGATGGGTGAAATATAGATTGAATTATAATTATTAATTGTGCTTAGGAATAAAGATTGATAATACAGTGCTAAGAGATAGAAAACCAAAAGATTCTAAACAAATAATTTTTAAAGAGCAAATTGGTAAGAAATCCAAAGTAGAAAAATAAAGCATGAAAATAATTGAGGAAGTCACACTAGTATATATTCTCCTATTTTTTAGTAGTATGGTTCTATATTACAAGACTATTTATCTTTGTTACAATGAGATCACAGTTATTCTTAGTTATTAGATATCGAATTGGATGGTATGAAATAGTTCACGAAGTTCGAAAAAAATTTTAAGCTTTGAGTTTAGTCTGTACCACTCTTACAACCATTCGATTTGAAATATGATGAAAAGAGTAATTTTGACCTCTTTGTTTAAAAAGTAAATGGTCTCTTTGTATATTTTTCCATATATATTTTGTTTAGGAAGAACAAATTCCCTTTCACACGTGAAGGTAACTTT